GCTGCTCTTCTCTGCCTAGGCAAAGCGGCACGCAGGCCCGCACCTCACCCTCTGCCCCTGCCTCTTTCGTGAGTTTGTAAACCCGTTCCGGCAAGAGCCTGCTGTCTCCGGGCTCCGGGGTTCCGGAGGTGCTGAACATGCGAACGTCGCAGACCCGGGCGCACGATACACACAACAAAGCATCAGGAACAAGATGCAGGACCCCACAGTTTGGAGGATGCGAAGGCTGCTAAGACCCCAACCTGGGACTTCAGCTGGGACTTCGTTGCATCTGCAGAGTGCGTCGCCCATTCTTCTTCCATGTCCTGGCAGCAACTTTCAGATCGAGCCACAAGTTCGCCGAAGCTTTAAGCGCCCCACAGCCCGAGGAACCTTATCATCGCTGCTTCGATTCCATGCGAGGTCGATGCGGGTGACAGTATGGTGACACTTCAGAGCATCTGCGGGATGCAAATTGCCGGCTGGAACCCCGAGAGCCCCGCCTGGCCTTGGCGCCCTTGGCTCCGATCGGGCCTTCGCTGAGTTTGATGGTGACGGTGTGGTTGGACTTGACGGCATCTGCCAGTGCCTCTCACGGGAAAACACGGGGTCGAAATTGCAGGCTGCGAAGACCCTGTGGGCTCCGCCTGGCCTTGGCACCCGCGTGTCCGATGAAGTTGAGTGCGAGGTTGACGTGGGTGATGGTTCGGTTGGATTTCAGGGCGTCTGCGAGTGCCTCTCAAGGGGAAACGCGGGGTCGAAATTACAAGCTGCAAAGATCTGCGTACGGCACCGCCTGGCCTCGGCGCCCGCGGGTCTGAGGTCGTTGTCTCGGAGGTTGATGGCGGTCATGGTATTGTTGGACTTCAGCCCATCTGCGAGTGCCTCTCAGCGGAGCAAAGGGTCGAAATTGCAAGCTGCAAAGACCCCCGCGGGAGCACCGCCTGGCCTTGGCACCCCAGGCTCCGATATCGTTGTATGCAAGATTGACGTGGGTGACGGTTCGGTTGGATTTCAGCCCATCTGCGAGTGCCTCTCGGCGGAGCAAAGGGTCGACATTGCAAGCTGCAAAGACCCCGTGGGAGCACCGCCTGGCCTTGGCACCCTTGTCTCCAATCCTGTTGCCCTCGAGGTCGACGTAGGTCACGGTATTGTTGGACTTCATGGCATCAGCGAGTGCCTCTCAGCGGAGCAAAGGGTCGAAATTGCATACTACAAAGACCCCGCTGGAGCACCGCCTGGCCTCGGCACCCCAGGCTCCGATCTCGTTGTATGCAAGATTTTCGTGGGTGACGGTTCGGTTGGATTTCAGCCCATCTGCGAGTGCCTCTCGGCGGAGCAAAGGGTCGACATTGCAAACTACAAAGACCCCGCTGGAGCACCGCCTGGCCTCGGCCCCCGCGTCTCCGATCCCGTTGTATGCAAGATTGACGTGGGTGATGGTACTGTTGGACTTCAGCGCATCCCCGAGCGCCTCCCAGGGGAGCAACGGGGCCGGGAGCAAAGCTACCGCATCGCGGTCACTGTGAAAACTCGTGCCTTCCACAGAACCCAACACCGTTCTTGGTGGAATTGGGCGACTTGGATCTCCAGCTCTGTGATTGTGTCGTTCAGCCCAAGGGCCTGTGAACAGCTTTTTCTAAGACAAGCACCCTCGCGGCACGGCGGCAGGAATGCGAGGCCCCGCCTTGCCGAACTCCTCGGCCTCTGCTTCACCCACCTCAATGTCGCGGATCCGCAAGGTCTTCAGCTTCTTGTAGTCTTTCAGGG